GCAGGGAGCCTGATGTGGGACTCGATCCCGGGACTCCAGGATCATGACCCGAGCCGAAGGCAGTCGCTTAACCAACTGAGCCACCCAGGCGCCCGACAGCGATTTTTATAAGTTACTATATATATATATATGTACATACATATATATACACATCTATATATTTCAATATATACATCTACATATATATATTTTTTGCTCATATATATAACTTCTTACAACCTCTGGTAAGTATCAAGAATGTGAAGGGTCTTCGATTTTACCCTGCATGCAGACTAACAGCTTAAGACCCCACTGAGTCATGGTGCTACCAGGAAGACTCTGACTCTCCTGGGTGAGAAACAAGGACTTTATTACTCACAGCACAGCAGGAAACACGAACGTCATTTTCCCAGGAGTTCCTCTGTCCCTCAGGGCCCATGGGCCTTGCGGAAAGGCTCAGGCAGATCCTGCACAAGCAGTGTGTTTAAGTCACATCTGAAGAAACATCAATATTTGAAAGGGAGCACCTAAGGCCACCTGCATACTCTTAACTTTTTTTTTTTAAGAGCGAGAGAGAGAGGCGGGGGAGGGGCAGAGGGCGAGTGAGAGAGAGAATCTTAAGCAGGCTCCATGCCTAGACAGAGCCCAGTGCAGGGCTCGATCTCACAACCCTGAGATCACAACCTGAGTGGAAATCCCGAGTTGGATGCTTAACTGACTGAGCCACCCAGGAGCCCCATACACTTAACTTTTGAGGGAGGCTTTATATATATTTTCCTGCACAGCAAATAAATCTGCTCCTTGCCCCCAAACGAGATACTGTATTTTCCAAGTTTATTTGCTATCTGGTCTAGAATGAAAGCCGTCATTGCCTCCTCCAAGAAGATATCCCAAGTATGAGAAACCCAGAGAGCTTTTCAACAATGCCCACTCCTCATTTCTACACTCTCTTGGCTTCCGGTTAACTTTCCCATGAGTACAACATCCCATTGGTCACTTTGACTAATCTCACTGACAGGGGCTGAGATTAAATCCATTCCATGTTTCTCATGCAGTCTTTAAAGCATGATCCATCCACTGATGTCCCTCAGGATTCTGGACACCTTCAGCCTTACAAATTCTGTAAAAAAAAAAATCAGGGTTTAACTTTGAAGGCCAGATAACTATCCTAAATTTTACATTTTGACATTTAAAATTAAATCCACATACAGCGTGATATATTAGTGATTGCATCTACTCCGCGTATGCTAGAAAGGAGGACATCCAGGACACATGCAACATCAGATCGCCAACACTCCCACTTTTCCATGACGTAGAGTAGCAATACTCACATCACTTTTTATTCATTGCACATCATGATATCCTTGTGGGTGGTTGCAAAGTGGGAAGTATAAAAGGTGGATTCATAAAGGGGCATGAATTACTACCATTCTTCCACATGTGAATATGATGGCTAGATACACAGGCTGTGTGAATGTCATTTTTGAGTGTTGATGGGACTGTGCGAGTCTGTGTGAGTGTGTGTCATAGTGTGTATGATTCTAGCAGAGAGTTTGTACGTGTGGCTGGGCGTGAGTTTGTGATAGAATATGTATGTATATGAGTATGTGACAAATGTGTACATTTGATTTATATGGCATTGTGTGCATGTGTTTGTATTGTGTGCTTTTGTGTGTGTGCTCACAGGCATGTGTGGTAGAGGTTGCCCACTCCTCTGCACTGTTATGGCTCTCATCCCAGGCTGGGAAATTGAGAGGCATTGGATAGTGGACCTGGATAAAATGTAGATTTGTTTGTAGGAAAAACCAAAGGGTTCATTTGAAGTCCTATTTTATATTTCTTCATGTATTACAAAAGCAACCAGTGCTCATTCCTGAAAATTCATCAAAAAGTAAGTGTGGAAGACTGTGGTGATCATCCAGTGCACTTGAACTGTGTACTCAGCATTTGCTTATTTCATAGAAAAGGAGCCATCTGGTGCTTAATCTAGACTTCCACATTAATTGGTGTTGAGTGCTTGTCTTTGGGTTCCACCTTTCACTTTGAAAATCCTCAGGTACCAACTTTTCGCTTATAACGTAATGACAGTTCACTTCAGTGGTCTGACGATTTAGGAAGAAATCACTTTTGGGTGGAAGAACTTGTTAGCAAAGCAGATCCAGGGAGACACACCTACTCACTGCCAGTCCCTCGGAGCCATCAGACCTCTGAAATTTTCCGCTCCCCTCCACGTGAGAGCTGTCTGCCTTCAGAAATAGAAAACAGTCTCTACCAGTCATTTCAACCGTCCCTTTGTAGCGATCAACTAGAGACTTATAACTGGTTTTGGTAATTACCAGCTTCAAAAAAAAAGTTCTTCGTAAATGTTCTCAGGTCCCCAGCCAGCACTATCATTGCCTGGAAAGGTGAAATGATAATTGTTCTTCTGAGGGACGGTGAGGTCACAATCACTGCTCCATATCACAGGGTCCAGGGCTGCCTCCCCCCACAGGCACTAGCTCTTGTGACCATGTACTGTGAGCTCTATTTGATGATCCCAGTTGGTGGGTGGTGAGCATCTCTGCCTTAATCAGTGGATGTTTCCCAACTGCCTGTCCCTTTGTTCTCATGAACTGTGACTCCAGAGCATCCAGGTTCTACCTAGCCCGGATGAGGAACACATCACCCACTAAACTCATGACAAATATGTAAATTGTATGTTTTGGCACAGTGTATGGTTATTTATTCATTCAGCCCCCAAATTGCAAGCATAATTATGTAACAATCACACCACAAGAGAGAGGTCAGCAAGCCAGAATGAGCTTCTTACTCATAAGAAACAATAAATAGTAAATGTAAATGAAACATTATGGGATTGTTACGAAAATACTTATATAATTGAAATTTTATTCACACTTCTAGTGAAGTAATTTGGAATCTGTGCAATTAAAAAATTGTCCCTGAAACAATCCAGAGATTGTGAGGAGATCTTTGAGTGTGTAACTTTTAATGTGACAAATTAAATATATCCAGAAATTGACTAAGCTTCGAATTTTTGGAAAAGATTCAAGAGAAGTTAACATGTGAGATGGCCATTCAAGAAAGTGAAGAAGAAAATGTTCTTGGGGTGCTTGGGTGGCTCAGTTGGTTAAGCATCTGCCTTCAGCTCAGGTCATGATCCTGGGGTCCTGGGATCAAGCCCCACATTGGGCTCCTTGCTGAGTGGGCAGCCTGCTTCTCCCTCTCCCTCTGCTGTTCCCCCTGCTTGTGCTCTCTCGCACTTTCTGTCAAATAAATACAGATAACACTGTACCACTTTACAGATAGTGAAGGTGCCTCAGGACAGAATATTTACAATTCCTCCCTCCCATTCCTTACAACATTGCTGTCATTTATTTTGCTTATCCATAAGCTGTAATCACCCAGTACCTTGTTGCTATATTGAGTTTGAACAGTTATCTATTACATCAGTTAAGAATAAGAAAAAAATAAAAATAAAAATAAATAAAATCTTTTTAAAAAGAAAAGAACATGTTCTCAAGTAGCATGGGGTGAAGGTGGAGTGCAAATTCAGGTTCAGTTAGGAACATTTTGTAGGTCACAACCTTAGAGAGATAGTAGTTTTAAAAATATGATTACATGGAGGGATATTAGCATATTTAAAACATTTTAATGTAGAAATAGACAAAGGACCTGGGTTAGGACAAAGGAGAGCACAAAAACTTATTTTCACTGATTAAAAAAAATGAGATGAGTGGTGACAATTAAAAAAAAAAAACGCATCAGGCAACCAACTATGGGAGAAGATATTTGCAAATGATATACCTAATAAGGAGTTAATACCCAAAATATATAAGAACTCACACAACTCAACCAAAAAAAAAAAATTGATTTAAAAATGCACAGAGGGGGGCGCCTGGGTGGCTCAGTCATTAAGCATCTGACTTCGGCTCAGGTCATGATCCCAGGGGCCTGGGATCGAGCCCCGCATCGGGCTCCCTTCTCGGCGGAAAGACTGCTTCTCCCTCTCCCACTCCCCCTGCTTGTGTTCCCTCTCTTGCTGTCTCTCTCTCTGTCAAATAAATAAATAAAATCTTTAAAAATAAATAAATAAAAATAAAAATGCACAGAGGACCTGAATAGACATTTTTCTAAAAATGACATACAGATGGCCAACAGACACATGAAAAGATGTTCATCATCACTTACCATCAGGGAAATGCAAATCAAAACCACAATGAGATATCGCCTCACACCATTCAGAATGGCTAGTATCAAAAATATAAGAAAGAACAAGTGTTGGCAAGGAGGTAGAGAAAAGGGAACCCTTGTGCACCATTGGTAGAAATGTCAATTGGTGCAGCCACTCTGGAAAACAGTATGGAGATTCCTCAAAATATTAAAAATACAAACATGATACAACCCAGCAATTCTACTTTTGAGTATTTACCCAAGGAAAATGAAGACACTAATTTAAAAAGATACACCCATGCCTATGTCCACTGATAGGCAAATAGATAAAGATGTGATAATACAGGGGTGCCTGGATGGCTCAGTTGTTAAGCGTCTGCCTTCGGCTCAGGTCATGATCCCAGGGTCCTGGGATAGAGCCCTGCATCGGGCTCCTTGCTCTGCAGGAAGCCCGCTTCTCCCTCTCCTCCCTGCTTGCACTCTCACTGTCCCTCCTTCTCTCTCAAATAAATAAAATCTTTAAAAAAAAAGATGTGATCTACATACATGATGGAATATTACTCAACCATAACAAAGAATAAAATCATGTCATTTGTGACAACACGAATAGACCTAGAGGGCATTATGCTATGTGAAATAAGTCAGAGAGAGAAAGACAAATACCATATGATTTCACTTATTTGCAGAATCTAAAAAACAAAACCAATGAACAAACAACAACAAAAAAGAAACAGACTCACAAATATAGAGAATGAACTAGTGGCTGCCAGTGGGGGTGAGGGTAAAGGGATAGGTGAAACAGATGAAGGGGACTAAGAGGTACACACTTCCAGTTATAAAATAAGTCACAAGGATGAAAAGTATGGCATAGGGAATATAGTCAATAACATTGTTAATAACTTTGTGTGGTGACAGATGGTAACTATACCTATCATGGTGAGCATATCCTAATGTACATAGTTGTCAAATCACTATGTTTTACACCTGAAACTAATATAATATTATGTGTCAACTCTACTTCAATAAAAAAATTTTTAGAAATTTTAAGAACACATGCGATCTGGGATAAAATCGCATGAATTTTTGGAAGGTAGATTTTTCTTTAAAGTGTGAAGGTACCAGTTGGCCACATTGGAATGAAGGAGATTTGGGGGGAGCACTCTCAAGTCTCTAAAGTGAGGAAGTAAGTGGAGCCTTCTACTTCATTGAAATTCACTTCAGTGGATAAAGAAAATGTGGTATAAAATACACAATGGAATATTATCCAGCCATACAAAATAAGGAAATCCTGCCATTTGCAACAACATGGATGAATCTTCAGGACATTCTACTAAGTGAGACAAGTCAGAGAGAGAAAGACAAATAAATACATGATATGTATATATGATATTGCTTACATGTGGAATCTAAA